TTTCTCATTAGAAGCCAAGAGCCGAGGTATTTCCCACCTGAGGAACCTAATACCTGGACCGTGCAGGGCCCCAGTCACTTCCCTCTGCAGGCTCCCTCCGGATCTGGGGAGGGGTTCCTGCAGTAGCTCCGCCCCCTGAGGCTCCAGGGTGGCAGGCGGTGCAGTGAACCAGGAACAGTGAGGCCCCCACTGGGGTCGAGGTGGGGTGTCCTTACATCCACTGGGTGCTTAAGACTCCTGAAACGGAGGCCCAGAGAGGTTAAGCTATCAGTCCAAGAGGCCTCAGGCTGGGCAGGACACACACTGCCGCTCCTGAGGGCAGAGCGCTCCCAGCGCCCAGTGAGGCAAGACTTCAACATCCTGGTACCATGTCGAGGGAGGGAGATTGGGCCCACTGGCTTCCCAGAGTGGCTGTAACAAGTGCCACACACCCAGGGGAGGAGGGCTTAAACCAACAGAAATGTAGGTGTTCGACTGCCAGCCCAGGGTTCAGATTCCACTCAGAGGTAACTCCAAAGAAAGGCCTGGCAGTCTGCTGGGGGGAAAAAAATTCCCAGCCTCGAAGTCCCCCTGGAGCAGGGTCATCCCGAGTCTCAACAGACTCAGTGGCAATCAACATGCCCCGCCCCTGGCCCCCACCTCTGCCCCAGCACATCAATAGAAACAAAGTCCCGAGACACGCGTGTAAAACACAGGTATCCTCGTGACTCTGGAGGGCTCTGCCGTGGGGATCCCTTCTGAAAGGGAGCTGCTCCTGGCCTCTCTCCCAGCTGTTGGTGCTGTTCTGCTGGTAGCTGCATCCTGGATCTCTGCTTCCATGGTCACATGGGGTGTGTGGCTCTTCTCTGCCACTCCTCCTGGACTAGGGCCCAGCCCCTCCCATCTTACCCCAAGTGCAAGGACAGTATCTGCAGAGACCTAGTTCCCAAACAAGGCAACAGTCACAGGTCCCCAGGGCTAGGACTTGAACACACACATGCTCTCACACATGTGTGGCAGGGGAATGGAATGACAAGATAAAGTGGTGTTCCCACCAGTTTTCAAAAGTGCTCCCCCTTTTGGGGGGAGGGAGCACAAGTAAATCCTCACAGGAAGTTTGGAAGACAGCTGCTTGGCCAACTGGCTGGAGTGTACCCAAATGATAGAACAATATCATTAACATCACACGCAAGGAAAATGTTGCTGAAGATCCGACGATGACGACGGTTGCAGCCGGACATTGACAGAGCTGCCAGAGGTTCCAGCTGGATCTGCACTGGACTGTGTGCATCGTAACCAACTATGCACAAGCCTTGCGAAGAGGCGGAATCCCACAACACCTCATTGTGCTCACGTGGACCCTGCACATGGATCAAGCGGTAGCTGTGTGAACAGAGCGAGAGCATCCTGCACGGTTTAAAATCAGGACAGGTGTGCGTCAGGGTTGTGGCCTCCCACCATATTCATTCAATCTGGTTGCTGCGCAAATCACCTGAGAAGCTGGATTATATGAAGAAGAACAGGACATCAGGATTGCAGGAAAGTTTATCAACAGCCTGTAGGATGCAAAGGACACAACCTTGCTTGCAGAAAGTAAGGAAGACTGGGAGTTATTTGCTGTTGAAGATCAAGGAGGGCAGACTTCAGTATGGATCACAATTCAATGTAAAGAAAATCAAAAGCCTCACAACTGGACCGATAGGTGATGTCCTGATAAATGGAGAGAATATTGACGTTCTCAAGGATGTTGTCTTGGGTCCACGATCAATGCTTGTGGAAGCAGCAGTCAAGAGATACAATGATGCATTGCGTTGTATAAATCTGCTGCACAAGACCTCTTTAGAGTGGTGAACAGCAAGCGGGTTGCTTCGAGGACTAAGGTGTGCCTGACCCGAACCAAGATATTTTGCATCGACTCATTTGCATGCAAAAGTTGGACATTGAGTAAGGAAGACCGAAGGAGAATCGATGTTTTTGAATGGTGGCGCTGCCGAAGAATATTGAAAGTACCACGGACTTTCAGAACAAACAGATCTGTCTTGGAAGAAGTACAGCCACAGTGCTCCTGAGAGGCGAGGATGGCAAGACTTCATCTCAAGTACTTTGGACATGTTATCAGAAAAGACCAGTCCCTGGGGAAGGACGTTGCACTTGGTAAAGTCGAGGGACATCGAAAGAGCGGAAGGCCTTTGACACGATGGATGGACAGATGGATGGACACAGTGGCTACAACAATGGACTCAAACATAAGAACATTTGTGAGGATGCTGCAGAACCGGGCAGTGTTTCATTTCGGTGGCACATCAGGTTGCTATGACTCAGAACCAAGCTGATGGCACCTAACACCACAATTCAATCCATACCAGTGCCCAAGGACACCACCAGACTGCCTCCCGTCCCCAGAAGCGGCTGTAAGCCGTTTGCTCTGGGCCACGCGCTAACCAGAGGCTCTAGAAGGCAGGGAGAGAAAATGAAAGAGGGACGTCAGGATTCATCCTGAGGGGCGTTCATAGCTCAGGATAGAGGTCTGGGCTTCATCTTGTCGAACATGCATTCTCCTTTTATGAAGATAAACGTACTGGTATGATGGCATTGGCCAGCAGAGAAGCACCTTCTTCTCGTCTCGGGCTCCTTGAGTGTCCTCTGCCGTCACGGATGACACAGTGACCGTCCAGACCAGGAATCCATGACCAACGACGACTTCAGTGAAAACAAACGGTCCCTGATGTCCTTCACCCTGGGGACACGACAGTGCCCAAGACAGAAATTCGAGAAACACTCACCCCCGCGTACAAGACCACACCCGGCGTCATGTCTGCGTTTGGATTTGGAACGCATTTTGGTGGAGGCATGACTGCCGGCTCCCCGGATTCTGCAAGGAGAAATGAACCTCAACACGGATTCGCAAACGACGGGCTGTGTGAGAAGAAAAAGGCCCCAGAGAACAGCGCGGGGAAGGCAAGGACAGAGCGAGGGAGGTCCGGGGGCTGCCGAGGCCGACGCTGGCGCAGCAGAAAGAAAGACAGGTCTCAGCCGTGAGCCGGCGATTGGAAGACAGAGAGAATAAAGATGCTACAGTGACCTGATGGGCCATGGTCAAGTGGATTTCTCACCAGAGCATGAATAAACTATAAGATCTTAATAAATAAATAAATGTGATCTGTTTATGAAGCAATACATTTGGGGCTAGATTTCATTTTTAGCATCTCTTATAACGTAGACTGTCTCCCGAGTTAAGACCACCCCTTCCCTGGGATCAACAAAGCTGGACCAAATATAGACATATAAAGTTCTGTCTGGATGTCCTGGAGAGACTGCAGGCCAGGAATGGGTCCGAAGAAAGGTCTGGAAGAGAGAAACCAAGACTGGGACTAGGCCTTGTGGCCACCTTTCCTCTGCTGGAAGCTGGAAGCAGCTTCTGCCAGTTTTCTCTACAGATTTTTTATAGGCGATGTCCCCAATCTGCCAGCAGCAACCAGGCACAGGATGGAACAACACGTGGCTGAAGTCAGGAGGGAAAACACCAGAGAAGAGAAATAGACTCCCAGAGGATCGGCATAATGGAGTTATGAGACATAAGCTTTACAATAAAATATTCAGGGAATGCAAGACAAGATCAGGAAATTTGGCAGTGAGGGCGAAACTATACGACTGCATTGAATTTCTAGAACTGAAAAATAGAATAACTGAAATAAGAACTCCATGGAGAAGCTTAATAGCAAATGCAAATGGCTGAAGAGAGAATTAGTGAAACAGAAGGTAAGTCCCAAGGAAATAGACCACCCCACTTACTATCTTATGATCCAAAAACCTCGAATTCGGGACAATAGTAAAAAAAATCAACTATCTTGCACATCAATGACACAGCTTGTACCAGTAACAAATGCTGGGGTGGATGAGAAAGTCTGGGGGTTTCCAAGACTGCAGTTGGCTGGTGGTGCGTATATAAACATCCCAGAGTATCTAATGTCATAACAATCCACCGGCCTCGAGGTGACCCGGCTCTGCAGGACAGACTGGAACTGCTCCCTAGCGCTTCTGAGGTTGTAAATCTTCACAGGACCAGAAGGAATATTGTGCCTAGAGGATCAGTAACTAAAGAGAGGGTATCAGTAAGTGGAGGTGCAGATAAACGTATCAGAGGGAGGAGGGAGAAGAGGCTGGAATGGCCAGGAAAGACTATCACTGAGGAAGGGCTTCGTCGCGCACAGAGGAGGGGGGTGAACTTGCTGAGCTAGAGGGAGGAGCATCCTCACCAGGGTTTCTCATGTGGCTGCTGTGAGGCCAGGATGTATGTACCCTCTGAAGGACAGTGAAGGCCAGACAGTCCCCTCCCCAGGGAGGAGAGTTAGAGATGGAAGCTTTGGGGGCTCTCCCCAGCTCTCAGAGGGGGGCCTGGTCCCTTTGGTACTGACCTCTGACCTCTCTCTTCTGTGGCTCTCAGCACGTCTGCTTCCTCACGCCATCTGCTGTCTGTGACTCTTCAGCCTGGGCACTCACCCCTCCTGACACCTGTCCTCTTGGACAGCAGCAGCCTGTCTGTAAAGGGAAGTGGGGCCAGCACCCGAGGCCTCTTCCCCAGGGAATTCTGGTCCCCAAGCAGCCCCCTGTGTGTCCATGCTGGCGTCCTTCCCCAAAGCCCAGGAGGCCTAGCGTGAAACGTGGACCCCACGGTTTAGCCCCCACGGTTTAGCCAGGGGAAGGGAGAGGGCCCAGTTCAGCTACACTCACTGGGGCCCAGGAATCCGCCCTGGGTCACAGGAGGCCCCGCCCACCGAGTCGGCCTCACTTTCTGCCTCAAGTCAGCATGGCACCCAGGGTGCCCCTGCCCTCGCCCGCTGAGCTGGAAGGGAGAAGTGGGCTGGTGGCCTGACATCCCTTTCCCTCGGAGTGTGGACGCAGCACGCACTCAACGTGCACACGCACGCACAGAGCCCCCGCTCACCTCCACACTGTTTGCGCCCCTGGGCCTGTGTTACCTGTTTGGACGAATTGTAAGAAGAGAGAAGCAAAGGCGGGAGTCACACACGAACACAAGCTGGTTTATTTAAGGACAAGGTGGCCCCGTGGCCCTTGCGTGGAATGGTCGGGCTGGCCCCGGTGCACAGCCCGGCGCCCTGCGCCCAGGAGCTCCGGGGACCTTGAAAGCAGCAACGGGGGCGTGGCGTGGGCAGGCAGCAGTGAGAAGGGAGGCAGGTATCTTCACTGAGGCTTCTCCTCTGTTGGAAAGGGCCAGCACCCGCCAGGGGACCACCCATCAGCACCTCCCAGTGCTGTCCAGGAGCCCCCAGGACCACCGAGCCCCTAGCATCCCCACCTGCAGAAATCCCAGGTCCTTGTGGTCCAGACAACTGGGGGGGGGGGTCGCATATCTGAGGGGTCTTGTCCTTGCACCACCCAAGGGACTGTGGTGGTGCAGGGGGGTCTCGCCCCACCCCCCTCCACCTCCCCTGGGGCTCCGGATGCCATCCCATAAGCCTGCAGCAACACTAGCCTGGGCACCCCCTGCCACCTGCAGCAAACCAGCCCCTCCTGACAACAAAGGCCACCCATGAGCAGGCAAGTAAGCCAGACCCCTTGCCCGTGTTACCTGCTTCCTCCCTCTTTTGTATGGGGTGCCCACTGGCCCCTGGCAACCACAGGTACCCCTAAGGAGCTGCAGGAGGAGCAGGGTAGGAGTCTCGCATAGGGTAGGACAGAAGCCAAGCGTTGTCCCCTCTGAAAGGTTCAGCTTAAACCCACCACCAGGTCTGAAACCCAGGAGCAGCCATGCTCCCTGCTGGCCCAGGACAGGCTTGCTGGGATGACACTGACCCTGCAGGGCGGCCCTGGCCCTGCCATTAGCTCCTGGGTGATGTGACAGAGGGGTCCGCACCGCTCTGGCCCTCTGTGAAGTGGGTGTGTGGTAACTGTCATGCTGGGCTGTGGGGGGTTGGGGGCGTGGGGGGAGGAGTGTTTGACCAAGCACATATATTACTCTCTGGGGCCCCTTCCCACCCCAGGTGTGGGCTCCAACCCAGGGTCCCTGCAGTGGCACACCAGGACCAACAGGAGTGGGGTGGGTACATGCCACACTGACCAGTGGCCAGGGGGCCCATGAGTACCAGGACCCTGGCCCACCCCGGGCACAGTCCTGGGACCTCAACCTGCTCCTCCTTCTGGGCAGCTCACTGAAGGCCCGGCCAGCTGCTCCTCGGGAGAGAGGTGAGCAGTCTGCTTCCCCAAGGACTGACAGCCTCAGAACACCTGTGGGCACTCTGTCCTCTAGGGTCACAGTTAGTGGGAACCGGCTGGGTGGCCGTGGGAGAGATGAGCTTAGAGGGTGTAAGTCGGGTCAGGGGAGCCCCAAACAGCTGGTTTTGCCAAGCACGAGGACCTTGCGTGCCCCTCTCATGAGGACGCTGCCCCAGCCCCTCTCCCACCGCAGGACCCCGTTTCTCCCCAGAGCCCAGGGCTCTGACCACCTGCTGGCCCAAGAAACCACAGAGGGAGAGGACACTGCTCTCCCGACCCTTGCTGGCCACCTCTGGCTCAGATGACCACAGAGTGGGGAGGGCCAGGCTGCCGGGTCTGGCTGAGGACGTGGGCAGCTGCCAGAAGGAGGGCTCCACTGAGGGTCTCGGCGGCGCAGGAGCCCCAGGCCAGGGCCGAGGACCAGCCGAAGCTGATGCTCACGGCCCGCATGTGCTGGACCCCGTACTGGCGGGCGGTCTCCACGAAGGCCAGGTGAGAGTAGCCGATGTAGATACTGATGCCCGCCAGGGTCAGGGCACCTGGGGAGAGGCCAGGGTCAGGGATCCTGAGGAGAGAGGTCTGGGACCACTCATGACTGCTGGGGGCATCTTCTCCCCAGCCTCCTCTCCTGCTTAGCCCTGACCAGCCCGTAGCCTGGATCCTTCAAGGCCACCTTCCCAGGGGACCTGGGAGATAGGGGCTAAGGGAGGGGACAGACACAATGGTCAGCTCCTAGGCCTGGAGCAGTGGAGTTTTAAGGGGTCTGCAACCATAATGTTCCATTACAAAGAGCACCCCCAACACCACCCCCTAGAGCAGTGGTTCTCAATCTTCCTAATGCCAAGACCCTTTAATCCAGTTCCTCATGTTGTGGTGACCCCCTAACCATAAAATTATTTTTGTTGCTAATTCATAACTGTAATTTTGCTACTGTTATGAATTGGGCGACCCCTGTGAAAGGGTCGTTCGATCCCCAAAGGGGTGGAGACCCACAGGTTGAGAACCACTGCTGTAGAGGAAGGGGAGGAGGGAGCAGGGAGGATGAGGGGGGCAAACAGCTATGGGCAGAATTTAGGGAAGGGGGTGGAGCTAGTCCAGGGACTTAGGGGTCTGAGTGTGGGGGTGGGGTGAACAAGGCCGAGCTAGCCTCTCTCCCTGTAGGGGTGGAGACTGGGGGTCTGGGGCCCATGGCTGAGAGCCAAGTCCTTGTCTGTGGAGGCTGCCCACCATCCCTTCCACCTGAGTCCCTCTTCCATGCCCAGCCAACTAAGTTGGGACCCTCACTCAGGGGCCCTGGCTCAATCCCACCCCGGGGGGTGGGGCTATGTCCTCTCAGCCCTCCTCGCCTTCTCCCCTCCATCTCCACTCACACTGCACAGAGCCCAGATTGGCCCCAGCCCACCCTGGTTGCCGGGGAGCCCACGCCTGCCCCTCTCTTCTCTGGGGCCTCCTGAAAGATGTGTCCCTGGATAGCAATCACTTAGGAGCTCACTATCCCAGCCGCTAGCCACACTGTGGGACTCTCTCCCCACCCCTTCAGGTGCTGATGGAGGCAGGTGGCTGGGGGATATTCCTGTGCACACTGACAGTGGCCTGAAGGCCCTGAGGATGTGTGTCTGTCTGAGCTGCCCAGACCCTTGGATGGCCCTTGACACAGAGAACGGCTGGATGTGGGCAGCGAGGACTGGGGGACTGCTGGGGGTGGGGAACACCTTCTCCTGTGCTTCCTGGTGACAATCCCACTGAGTCCCCTCCCGGGGCCCCAGGTTGTCCTAACTCACAGATATCTCTGGTGACCATGCTGGGCCACCCCTGACATGCAGCTAATCCGATCCTGTGGAGCACATGTCACCCCAGCATTGTCTACTGTCCTGTGACCTGCCCCCACAGCTGCCCCCCAACTCTCGGCCTGACAAAGAGCCCCTCCCCGCAAAGGGCCACAGTTCTCTGCAGGCAGAGAGCACCAGGCGTGGTGCCTGGCCCTTGGGGAGGACATATCCACGGCTGGGGGACCTGGTGGGCAGGGGGAGCTGGCGGCACCGGAAGACAGTGAAACAAACATGACACTGATCTCCTCCTGACCTCAGTGGGCCTGGGAGACGGTTCACCTGT